CACAACAGCTCAGCCCACATGGGAGCAGTTCCTAAGCTGAGCCAGGTCAGGTTAAACTGAGCCAGGTCACATTCAATGCTGTGCAATTAACAGGTCTTCGTTAACCTTGGTGATTTTTGGAGATAGATGAGCTGGCAGATGGAAAAATATTTGTTCAAGCAGCTGCAGGAAGAAGAATACATATGGAAAAAAAAGCTTTATGTTTCAGTTAATAGATGTCTAAGTGCCCTTCATGTGAACAAATATCCATGGTATGTATTGCTGACTTGGACTTGTCAGACCCACAGCTCTCTCTTTCCATTTTCTGAAGTGCAGGGCAATTCATGTTGTTATTTATTAGGGCCAGGTCCTCCAAGGTAGCATTTTGAGAGGGTAAAGCTTGAGAATTTGTTATGAGCAACCTCACTCCTGAAAGATGGATTTTTATTGGTTTTTTTTCAATATGCCAAGCACGTTAATGAGTGTCAGAGGTAAACCAGAACACTGGGACGGAGGGAAGTGGAGAAGAAAATCTTCCAGCAGCACCTCTGATTATTTCATGGTTAAGTTATTTTGTATTAGCCACGGAAATTGCTGCTGTGTCTGTTTGGTGAGGATGCATGCAGACTGCCCAATTAGCAAAAGATCAGAGAGAAAGGACCTCAGGGCTTGTTTCTCAAGGCTTGACACGGGTTTTTGGAAGCAGGAGGCTCTGTCATACAGCTTCCAATCAATCAGCCGCATAGTTCTGGTTATCAGTGCCACAAACATAAGAAATGTTCCAGGTTGCCCGGGTTTGTGGAGATGTGCAGGTGATGCTGGAGCTCACTGCTCTGCTGGATCCTGCCCCAGCCTGCTGGCAGGCTCACCAGAGGCACGGAGCCAAGGCTTTGGGGAACAGCATCCCTCCCATTTGGCAACGGAAATCCTATTCCTGGGCACAGAGCAGCAAGGAGATGAGCACTGCCCAGCACTTCCTTGGACACGTTTGGATAGTTGTTCTGCAGTTGAGTATCGGCTGTAGCGTGTGCCAGGTCCCTGGGGGTTTGGTTTGTGGGCTGGCACCAGGGTCAGCTGAATAACTGAGGAATGGAGACACAGTCAGCCCTTTCTGGTTGTGCACAAGCTGCTGTGGCTGTGGTGGGTCAGACAGGAGGTGCAGTGTTGATGGAGCAGCTGCAAACGAGGCACCGGAGCAGCTCGGGGGGGGCACAGAGGGTTCAGTGTGTCCTGCAGACCTGCTCCTGGGGTCTCTCGTTTCATCATCTCACTGTCAGCCTGTGGCTGGCATGGACAACTGGGACTTACCATGGAAGTCATTTTGGCAGAGCCTCATTTCACACGGTTGCTGCTCCCAGGATTGGAACAGGCTCTTGTTTCCCCTGAGCCCTTTTGCCACGGTGGTGGAACCACAGAGCTGGGACTGTGAGGCTTCTCCGTAGCAGCTTGAGAACTTCCCAAACTTCTGCAAATGCAGCAAATTGCTTTCCACAGGATTTGGAGTTTGATTTTTGGACACGTGACACGTGCAGTATTTTTCCTTCCCCACCTCCCACTCACTGGTGGAGAGTGACCCAGGAAACAAGTGGTGATGCAGCGTCTGCTCTGGCACCTGTATTTGTGCAGAACACTGTCATTTCAGGAGCATTCATCAGCACAGCGCAGAGTTCTCCAGCCCACTTGGTTGGAATAAATAGGCAATAAATTCCGTGCTAGCACATTAAATGGGATGGATCAGAATAGGTGCTCAAAACACTGTTTTATCACAGACTGCTGCCAGCTGTTCACAGTCAGCAGAAATACTGCTGTGGATTTCCACGGGTGTTTGATCAGATTGAGATGGATTGTAAGAGAACTTGGGACTTGTGCTTCTGGGATCATTTTCTGTGCAAAAGCCATCCCTGGCAATCCCACAAGCTGCAGGGGTGGGGGGTGATCTTATTTTTAAATTTCTGCATTTATTTTTCATAGGCTGCGTCCCGGCTGACGCGTTTCCATGCATTATGTAGGGTGAGGAGCTGTGAACACAGCTTTTTCCGTGATCCAGGCTGACAGTCCCAGCTCTGAGCACCTGGTCATGCCTTAAAACAAGTTTAATCTGTCTAAAACAAATAAACTCACCCCTAAAACCAGCTGAAACTTGACAAACTGGTACCAGAATTCTAAAGAAAGGTACAAAGCAGTTCATGTATTAAATCCTCTGTTTTCTGTCAGCCAGTTCCTGCTTTACCTTGGCAGAGCTTGTCCTTGGAACGTGAGGAAACCATTTCAGCCTCTGTGAGGTGACACAGACAGGCTCTGAAATCCTCTGCTCCTGCCCTGGAATTAGTGCCAGCGGGGCAGTCCTGAGACACTGCACGTGCTGCTGCAGTGGGAAAACGACCCACTGGGCTCCCCCACAGTGCCCTGTCTGCCCCTGCCACCTCTTCTCCTCCTTTCCCAAAAGGGGAAAAACAAACAACAAAAAAAGTCACACTGCTGAATCTCTGCCTCACCATTCCATGCCCATGCTGTAAAGCTTCCTTGGCTTAATTCCACTGCTTCCTTCTCCCAACATCCCCCAGCCTTCTGCCAGCACGCGGGGCTGTTTTAAGTGAAAATAGAGTCCTGTTGTGCATATACTGTTTTTCTTGATCCTGCTAAAATCTTCACCAGGGCCTTCCTTGGATGCTTCAAGTAGAGGTGGCACAAAACTGAGTTGAGGAAATGCTTTTCACTGGTGTCTGTTGTCAGTGGAATGGGATAGGAGCCCACACGGAAGCCCTCCAGATCCACGGATAAATAGAGCATTGTGCTTTGAGGCAAGGCCAGGCCACACTTTGGTTTCCATGAGCTGAATTTATCAGACACTCTCCCAGCCAGCAGCACACTAATCATCAGCTGTGGGGCTTTGCAGGGCAGGGGCATATTGAATGTTCCCGAATTTCACAGCAGGGTTTCTGGGAAGCAGCGGATGGCAGGAACCCGTGGGCTGCTGCTGTGGCTGTGAGGGCGAGGAGCTGCCCAGGGAAGTTCTGTCAGCAAGATCTGAGGAACACCCATGATCTGAGAGCCCCCATCGCTCAGTGACTCCAGAACCAAGGAGCTGCTGCTCCAAAGGGCTCTGGAGGAGCCCAAGCTTTGCTCTGCCTGGGGCTGCAGTGCCAGCACCTCCTCCCTCCGAGTCACAGCAGGGGTAGGGACCACACCATGGTACAGTAAAAAGAGGGCAAGTGGAGCGGATGGCTTTGTATTTTCTGTCATCCAGCTGTAAACAGGTGGGAAAAAACCTTGGTTTATTGTCACTGAGCTTTTCCAGCAGCTCTGTGAACAATTGCCCTTCCACAGATGGCAGGTAGAAAGCATTCCATGCAGTATTCGAGGGGAGCTGGTCAAACCTCTTCCCAAACTGTTCTTTCCCATTGCTGCCGGCTCCCAGCTGTGCCTGCTCTCTCCCATGGCACACCGGAGGGTTTTCCTGCCCGGCGTTCCCGGTGCTCGCTCCTCTGATCCTGCGTTGGGCGCTGCTGGCATTGCAGCCTCTCCCACACTCCCGTGCTCCCTGAGCTCCTCCTGCGGATCCGTGTCCGCTCTTCTCGGACGACGGGGGTGGGAAGTCCCAGCGGACTTTCACACGAGTGCGTTTCCCTTCCACCACCGCCGGCACAGCAGGGAGGGAAAAGCCTTCCCGGCGCTCGAGGTTCCCCTGGTGACGTCCCCGCCGGGCTGGCAGAGCACAGCCTGTGCGTGGGCCCGGCAGAGCCAGGAACACCCGGAGCATCCTCAGCCCCTCAGTGCCAGTGCTGTCAGAGCTCTTCCCAGCGCTGGGAGGCATTCCCAGGCTGAAGAGAGGGGGAGATTTGTCTCCTACAGAGAGGCGCGGCAAGGGGAGCGAGCTCTTCCTTGGGGCTCAGAGCAACCCGGGCTAGTGGGAAGTGTCCCTGCCCATGGCAGGGAGTTGGAACTCAGTGATCTTTGAAGTCCCTCCCAGCCTAAGCCGTTGTGTGATTTCCAAAGGAATGGGTAATTCTGGGGAGAAAGGCTGCACCTACCTCTGAGCTGGGAGCACAAGAGCACATGGCAGATCTCAGCCCAGGACCAGCAGGAACTTTCTGCCCCTCACCTGGGGAGCTCCGAGCACCCAAACAGCCCTTCAGCAGCGTTTGCTGCCCGGGCAGAGCAGGATTTGCAGCGTGTGCAGCAAAACTCTTCCGACAGCCCCACTACTTCACAAGGCTTCTGGAAATTCGTGCTTTCCCAGTGGATGAGCCCCTAGGGAGACATGAATCTTTCAGAAGCTTCATGCAAATAAAATGCAGCATTTTACAGTCTTAGGCATAGCCTCGGGTTTCTCAGTTTTTCCTAACATAGTCCCAATTTTCTGCTCTCTTATTTATTTCTTTTACTAAAGATGTTCAGTTCACACTTTGTTCTGCTCAATATAACCAACGTAATCCTATTTTCTTACTACTTAACCAGATAATCAGGATGCCATGAGCATTTCTGTAGCCTAGAAATGCCCTTGTTTTCTGCCTTAAAATTCTAATTGTAGTCATGTATGAACTCTGGTTTATAATACGGAAAAACACGATTTAGACCCCAGGGAAAAAGAACATGGAAACACGTGCAGGGAGACTCATTGGAATAATAACAATACAATAAAATTTTGATCATTGTAGCAAAGATGTAAACTAGAACTGCTCTGCTCAGTAGGGAAAAAAAAAGTCTCTGAGCATCCTGTCATTTTTCTTTCTCCTGGAAAAGGGTGTGAGCAGCCTTGGCATCTGTCCCACTTCTATGGAGTTGTGCCCCTGGAGTGAATTTTCTGGAGTTAGTGATGCCCTTGAAGCAGGGGCAGGGAGAGGAGCAGAGCTGGGGTACGGGAGGTTGCACTTACCTACAGGATTAGGTGTCGGAGGGGCCTGAACACCTGGAGGCCACTGAAAGCAGCAGCCGCTGCCTGCAGGAGCTGCCGGTGGTTACTGACGGCTGGGGCATCCCGCGGAGACAACACTGAGTGCCGCTCCTCTGTCTCCCCGCAGGTAAATACGTGTACCAGCCCATGACCCCCGTGGAGCAGCTGCCCAGCACCGAGATCCCCGCTCGGCCCCGGGAGGCCCCCAACAGCATCCAGATCTCCGTGTCCCTCACCGAGCACTTCCTCAAGTTCGCGCCCGTCTTCCAGCCCCCGCTGCCCCCCGACTCGCCCCAGTTCTGCACCATCGCCGACCTGTTCATCGACAACTACCGCGTCAAGTGCATCAACGGCAAGATGTGCTACGTGCAGCGGCAGCCGCCGCCCGCGCCGCACCGGGGCAGGGCCGAGGAGCCGCCCGCCCGCAACGCCTTCATCGCGGCGGAGAGCAACCCGGCCAAAGCGGAGCACTGCTCGTCCCCCTCCAGCTCCGAGGACTCCGGCATCAACGCCGTGGGGGTTCACTACATGGAGTCGTGTGACGAGGACACGGAGGGGGTGGCTGAGCTGAGCTCAGAGGAGGATTACAGCCCGGATAGCAGCTGGGAGCCGGACGAGTGCCCGCTCCTGTCCCCCTCGCAGTGCGAGATGGAGGTGATCGAGACTATAGAAACCACGGTGTGACCCCGCGGCCGGCAGCGGCTCAGGCCCGTTCCCACTCAGTAATGTTGCTTTTGTAGTATTTCTATTTTCTGTTTTTTTCTGACAATCCCTTTTTTCCAGTGCACTTGATATTTCAGATTCCTCATGGGAGCGCGGTCACGGGACTTACATATGGTGAACTAGCAGCAGCCTGAGCAATTTTAACACGTTCTCAGCCTGATCAGCTCTCCCACGTCTGCACGTAAGGTAGTGACAAATCTTGAGACTTTTCTAGCAGAAATAGGCCCTTTTCTTGGTCTGGGTTGCCCCACACCCCACTTCTCCCACGAGGACGTGCCACTCGAGGTGTTTCCCCTCAGAGCACGGGGGGTGCGCGCCTGGAGCAGCAAACCGAGTTGCCCTTACTCTTTCTCAAACAGCTACACGAGGAGGGGCGGGCAGAGGCTCCTCCTGTCTCTGTCTGTCCTGACAGCGCCTTGTCCGGCCTCTTCTCCAGTGCTGGTCTGACCCTTCTCGAGGCTGTGGGCACCACACGTCCAGCAGGTTGGAACGGCAGGCTAGAGAACGCACAAAGTGCCTCCCAACTCTTCTCCAGGCTATGCACCGAGCAGCTGCTGGGGCAGGTCAGGCTCTGAAAGCTCCTGAGGAGGCAGCTCTCCCTCTGGAGGGGCATCAGGCACCTGAATCCAGCTGAATCTCTGCCTGGATCTCGGGAAGGGGATGTGGCTGTTGCAGGGGGCAGGAGGGGGAGCAGGGCCATCTAACCCACACCAGGGTGCACCAGGACAGGGGAAGGAAGCGACTACCTCCGAATACACAATCTGCCCTCGGCTCTGCCTGCTGCCTCCTCCTGGGCTGTTCGGGGCCAGACACTCAGGACCAAGTGGCCTCAGGGCCTGCATTTGCCTGAAGAATAACACAGTTTAAACAAACAGCATTTTATCAGCCACACCACTGTGTTGGCAGAGCTTGGGGACGGCGTGGAGGTGCCCGTGGGTGTGTGCTCGTTAAAATACAGCCCCAGGTCGTTCTAGCAGAGAGAGGAGGCTTTGGCTCTTTCACACCCAGTCCAGAAGCAGGTTGGGAGCAGGGGTCCTCACACAGCTGGGAGCACAAGCTGCCTCACAGGAGGTTTGGTTTCAGCCCTGCTTGAAGGAAACAAAAATGTCACTGAGGTTTCAGTGGGCTCAGCTGGGTTGCAGTCAGTAACACCTGTGTTCCCGCAGCGTTACTGCCGTCCTTGGTGCAGTTCTGTTTGGGTTTCAGAAGTCCCTGGTGAATCCAAGGCTGTAAAAAGGTGTACAGTTAGTGACTGATCCTAGATTATAGTCCGTGGTAGAGGATGGCTCATCTCTCACTGTATCCTGACAATGTATTCCCAATTTTATACACTTTGTAATCAGTATCTTTAGAAGACATTTAGGCAACAGTGTGTGTCTGTGCACATACGTGTCTAGGAGTTTCCATGGGTGGATATAAAGTAATGCTGTACTTTTTAGACTAACACTTTCAGACAAAAATAGGTTTTATAGTTTTGATGACTTACATAAAAAAGTGCAATGCTTGTGAAATGAGGAACCTGGGCCATTGCATGAACAGATACATTCTCACAAGGCACCTGAAAATACTGTTTTTCTGAGGGCATTTAAACAAAGGCCGTAGTAAAACTAAATAGGATTTATTTATTTATTTTTTAAGGGCAGGATTGTTTTTCTTGGCTAACTAAGGTTTCTAACAACATTTGGGTGTCTTTAGACCATTCAGACACATTCCATAGGTAGAAGGAAACATTATGTATAAACCTACAGCATTTATTCATATTTAACCTTTCAATTGTAGTCTGAGTGGAGAGCTGGACAAGCTCACTCCCCTGCCTGGCCTGCCCGAGCTTTCCTTCCCCGGGGGAATGGCTGGGCTGGCAGCTGCTCCCACCCCAGGGGCTGGTGGGGGCCTTTCCCAAGGGCAGGGAGCTCCTCCCAGCTCTCCCTGAGGGCGCCAAGCAGAGGGTGGGTCAGCAGGACCCCCGGCCTGGCACGAGCTCACCTTGTTTGCGGGCAAGCAGGAGCCGTGGCCCCGCGGGGGCACCGGCCGTGAGCGCCAGGGTGGGGATGGCCCAGACTCACCGTGAGGTCCTGGGGGCCCACAGGGCCCTGTCCCTGTCAGGATCCATCCTTTCTTAACTGTAAGTAATTAGCAATATTCACAAGCTGTGAGTGTCTCCTACCCAGGATTTGTTCAGATGTCTTAAGCACAATAAGCTGCCTCTTCCTTCTGTTGTTCCTGGAAAATGTCAGCGGAGCAGCCTGGGGTGGGATGTTCCAGGGAGTGCTGGGGCAGTGGCCCAGCAGCAGGTTCTCCCTGTGCTCCATCACACTCCCACGGAACCGTGGTCCCTTTCCTTTGCACAAACGCTGGCGTGGCCGTGCCCTTCGAGCCATGCCCTGGGCTGGCTGCTCCACCCTGCCAGGGAGAGGTGTGTATATCTTGAATAAAATACTGAACAACTGGCCTTCTGCTTGTCCTCACTCCCCACGTGCTTTCCATACTGGAGTGAAACATTCCAGCATTTCCAGCAAAGGAAGGGGCACTGACACCCCCCAGGGCAGGCAGCAGAAGGCAATCACCACAGTGGGCACCCCCAGGGCCAGCTGCCACTCCCCTGAAGGGCTGCCCCAGCCAGGGGGAAGGACAGAGGGGACAAGAGCCACCCCAGCTGATGTCTGGCCAAACTCAGCTGCTGTAGCTCCCTGACTCACCTGTGACCAGGTGCCCTGCAGGCTGGAAACAGCAGTGTGCCCTTCTCAGTGCTCGTGGGAAGGAGGTGAGGCACTGCTCCTGGCCAGGTGAGCTCTGCACAACACCTGGTGCTTCTCTGTTCCCATATTCCTGCCATTCCATGTGAGCTCTGCATGGATCAGCCACCAGAGTTCTGTGTGCAGGGAGAACAACCCCCACCCGGTGCTGTGCCCTGGGAGCAGCTGGGACCCCGAGGGTGTGGTACCCCAAACACCCAAGTGCCAGTGACAAAGTGAGCAGGAGGAAGAGGAGTGTAAGAAGCACAGAAACCCGACCTACACCCGGGTGCAGCGGTGAGAGCAGGTCCTAAAGGTGCTGCTGGGAAGGGACAGGGCCCACTTTGGTGTTACAGAACAGTGGGCTGAGCTTAGAGTGACAAACCTCTGTGACCATGAGCACCCATCCCACCCACCCTCTCCCCCTTGCAGTCCCCGAGGGCCCAAGACACCTTTTTACACACGCTCCCCCCACATCCCCACCATAAGGTACAACGAGGCGAGGGGCGAGGTTTGGGCTTCACCCCCAGGGACAAGATTCATCTCTTTCCAGCAGCCCTCACCCGCTCCCCGTGTGCAGAAGTCACAAGAGATGTTCACCCAAGGGCCTCTTTAATGGTTGGGAGGTGGGACACACCGGGCACCGCTCACGTTTCCCGCACGTTCCTCAGCCTTCTCCAGGTTTGCCTGTTCTGTGCCTTCAGACGGGGCCAGGCCTTGGAAAACAGCTGCTTTGGGAACACAGAGCTCAGGTGTGGCCCCAGGCACAGCCCCGGGACACAGCTCTGGGCACAGCACAGGCTCCTCCAGCCCAGCAGAGCTCACTGCAGTGTGTGGACAGTTCCCAGTGCCCCGATCCCAGGTGGGCACAGGCAGCCCCTGCTGTCCATGCCCTGGCACGCTGGCTCTGCCCCCAGAGCTCCAGCTCCCAGCCCAGCTGTCCCCACCTGCCTTGGCTTAGGGAGAGGCCGCAGCAGAGCAGGGAGATCACCCAGCTACAAACCCAGAGTCAGCCCAGAAGGTTCTGGAAAAGGGGATGTGGAGGGAAAAGTGCCATGGAGTGATGGAAAGGCTTCCCAGCAGCAGGAGCTGAGGGCAGGCCCAGCCCTGGCAGCACACAAGCACTAGTCCTCGGCCAGCGGAGGGGGGGTCAGGTGGAGCTGGAAGGTCTCGTTCTGGAAGACGCTGCTGGAGGCCGAGTCCCCGTGGGAAGTGCTGAGCAGCCCGTGCTTTTCACCACCACGGGCCAGCTCCGTCAGGAGAGCCAACTGCAGGGAAAACACACATGGATCACCCTCAGCACCCCGGGAACACCCTGCAGGGAGCACAGGGACAAAGGGCTGGGGGGTCACCGTGTTCCTGCAGCAGTCAGAGAAAACCCACCTACAGCAAAGGGTGGCTATGGAGGGGCCCTACAGAGGGGGCCACCAGTCCAGAGCTAAACAACTCCCCAGGGATCTTTAGGTTGGTTTAAAATCACATAATTGAAAAACAAGCCCAGAAAGAGCTGAAAGTGCCAACAACTGCAACCAAAACAGGCAGGAGGCAAAGGGAAAATGCCAGGGACAGAGGGAGTTGTGCTCTCCTTGGGACAACACGGGGGCAGGAGGAGGGAGCATCCCGAGTGATCATGGGAGCCACACAGTGTCTGCAGGGGAGGGAGGCTACAAACCCAAAAAGGATGTGGCACTTGTCAGGCCCAGCCCCAAAGCCAGAGGCATTCCTGGGTTTCCCTACCCACGAATTCCCCAGCGTGGCTGCCTCACGGTGTGCACAGCACTGGCCCAAAGCCCAGAGAAAAGCCAGAGGCCTCCCTGCCACACTGGTGCCTGGTCTGACAACGTGCAGAACGTCTGTGAGCAAGTGAAAGCAGAGCAGAGCGGGGGGTACGTACCCGGGACGTGCCTCGGTTCAGCCGGCACAGCTGGTCAAAGGCCTGGATCTGCTGAGGATCCAACAGGGACTCTGAACTCGCCTAAGAAAGAGAGTGAGAAGGTTACAGAAACCACACCCCGCAGGGGGTCCAGTTCCTATACACAGAAATTCATTCCTGGGCCTGGAGCAGCTGCTCCACAGCCTGTCTGGGAGGCCTTTTGAGCCACCTCTCCTTTGGCTTCGAGCCACCGTGTGCACCTCAGTTCTGGGAGAAAACAGTCCTGTTGTGGCACAAAGGACAGATACACCCCTGCATCCTGACTTCCTGCTGGGCTCTGTCCCTGATGGCACAGTACTGAAATACCTTTGGGGGAAGGATAAAAGGGATGGGAAAGCTCCCCCGCAGCCAGCTGGGAAGAGAAGCAATGGGTTTGTGTGGATGAGCAGCCTCTCCAGGGCTCCTCCCCAGGCAGCAGCAGCTCCCCCAGTCCTGTCTCACCTCCCAGCCCTGCTCAGCCCCACACGGCCCCGCTGCCATGGGGCACAGGCTGTGCCTGGCTGGGACGGGAACACGACGGTGCCAGGGACTGGGAACAACTAATGGCATCCTAAGGTGCCTTTTTATTCCCAGTGGGATGTTACAGACTGAAAGGTGGGAAATGAGGGGTGGAAAGGGGGTGAGTGACAGCCATGGCAGCCATGTCCCCTGGGACTGGCCCTGCCCAGCAGCAAAGGGCAGCTCCAGAGCTGCAGGGAGAGGGCCCACAGCTGCACCAAGAGCACCAAGGCAAGGAGGGCTGCACACTCAGGCTGCTGTAAATGGCACCATTTACATATCCCAGGGAGAGATGACAAAGCATCACAGATTCTTGTAGGTTTGTTCCATTTATCACACCACACTGTTTCTATTTTGAATGTTTCTGCTCATCCTGCTAAGGAAAAGCATCATCAAGAAACCACAACAGGAGCCAGGGGAACGGCCTCCCTCATGAGCAGCAGGCTGGCATCTGTTGTCTCTGGGGATCTATTTTTAAGGGAACATACAAATATTTTCTCCAAAATACATTTCCCAGGGGCTATTAACCCAAAATGCTACAGTC